TGCTAGATGGGCTCGCTTACACCCTACGAAGTCATTATTTAAAACTTTTTTTTCAGAGCGAAACAGATGAAGTTTTGAGAGGGTTGCGAGACCATTCGCCGGTGAGGACGCGGATTGATCAGTTCCAGTCACCGCCTGTGGAACCATATCAACCAAAGAACTACAAAATCTTCGAGGACTCAATGCACTCAGATTACAACGGCAACTATGATGTGCTGCCGCCTAGTGCCGCAAAACGATTTCAAGCACGACGAGGTGACTATGTAAACGGTCATCAGTCCTCCACACCTCCTTCATTTCAGATGTCCTCCGTAAGTCACACTGACAGACTTCCTTCAAGCCTATTTTCATTTAGTAACACTTGATATACTAGCTACAGCCGCTGCTTTCCTTTTGGGGTCAAGGCGAGCGAATTACCAACAACAATAACCTCCTTTATGAGGAAGAGGCTATTACTGCGAAACGGAATCACATCCAACATTTCAGTTGAACGAAATATGGGCCAATTAGTTCGATAATCCTGTAATAGCCGGGCGCACTGGGGTTCTAGTATAGCGTAGCTTCTTTCTGATTAGGGCCGGCACTCAGTTGTTCGTTTGTATACACTGCCTCCTGGTTGTATCCACACGCTGAAATTCACTAGGAGTCTTGTCAACCGTAATAGTCATCCGTCAAGTTGAAGAGCTGGTATATTCCATAGTGCGCAAAGGTTTATTAAGGATGTAGAAAAGAGTCAAAGATTGAATAACAATCCTACACAACCATGAAAGTCCTGAGAAGTTGGAGCTGGGGGCTACCACCGAGGGAAGGGAATATTCTGTGGGGCCCTCGCAGGATGGGCAAATGTTACTCATAACTGTCTACAGGGGAGGTTGGGGCTGGAGACCGCCACCAGGAAAGAGACAACCAATATACACCACACCACCTACATCATCCCTGATCACACTCGAACTGCCCGCGCCCAACAATTCAACCAAGGTCGCATTTTATTTCTCCCCACGGATCCTACAAATCCCACCTGCCGATTTTATGAATGCTCATATTTGACCATCC